TTTTCTGTGCGCAGAGACCGTGCCAGCAGTGCGCAATTGCGCACGCGCGCAGCTTAGAGGGAACATTGCTCACACTTGCTGATGAAAGATAAGTTGTTCCTTAAAGGCTGTGTTTATGAGCAGCTTTTTTATATTTACTTTCACCTCCTGCTCACCTGTTTGCCTTTCTTCACTTCACTTCCAAACAGGGAAAACAAACAAAACAGAAAACAGGAAAAATGGTCTTTTAAAAATTAATTTAATTTAAAAAATTGCTTGTCTCATTTCATCTCTGATTGATGTCACTTTGAGTCAGATTTCTCAGCTTTGGCTTAAAAGAAACAATCATTCCCCCCTTTCTAGTTTCCAGGTCCAGGGTTGTGCTGATTACACGGTACTCTCAGTTTCTCTGTCAGGTTCCCGCTGCGCAGCATCCAAACACGAGATGGAGATAAAGAAAATGTTTCACTCAAGATGGATCCTCATAAAAGAACAAGCCAGACTTTTATACACAGTCTCGTTCCACCACATGTGCTACCTCATATATTTATGTATACATGCTTGGTATATGTTATCATTCTTTCTGTTTCAAGTTTTAATCTAAGGTTGGCTAAAAACATCCCAGCTTTCCTCCTTAACGCATATAAATTAGCTTGATATTGATTTTTCTTATTTCATTATTGGGAAGAAAGCAACTGATTGATTTTTGCCAAATCAAAATCAACTTATTTCTATAAAGCAGCAAAGCTACAGGATCCTTCTTCTGTTTTATGTGACTCAGTTTAAAATACACCCCAGGAGTGTTTCAGGCTTCCAGCTGAGCTGACGGTTGCTGTTAAGGGAAATATCTTCCAGTATTTTACTGCAGCCCAGTTTTCACGTATGGATCAAAATTCTTCATGACAAAAGAGAACTTTTTTTTTTTTTTAAATCCTAGGCTTTGAGAGAAGTTTCTACCTTTATTAGATCTGAGGAGACGATGAACCTTTTCACCAGAACTTTTTATTCTCCATGTTTGCGAGTCTGTAAATTTCCTTGAGAGGTTGCACAGGTACATCTGTGCCCCCCACACACACATTCTCGTTTTGATGTCTTAGTGAGGACATCTAATTGACATAATGCTTACCCTAGGCCCATACCCTAACCCTCAAAAATGCCTTCAAACTCGTGGGGACAGGCTCTTTTGTCCCCACAAGTATAATAACATTGTGATTTTTGGTCCTCACAAAGATATGTAAACAAGCCTACACACACACACACACACTGTGTTTCTGACAGCAGAATTTAATTTTCAGGATTTCTCGCTCCTGTATTGCCGTGGCTGCTTCTGTCAGTCACTCTGCATTTCGCCTCCTCTCTTCCTGCTGTTTTGTGCACAGGTTGTTCAATTTCTCCCCCCCCCCTCTCCCTTCATCTCTGTCTTACTTCCTTTGATCTCCCGAAGCTTAAACCCATTGTGAAAGAGGAAACGAGAAGAAATGCGGAATAATCCAGCATTTCAGGCTCATCCTTTGCTCTTTCCACTGAGATCAGCGTGATACTGCAGAACAGAAGGGCTGAGCAGCTGAGCGAGGACGGTGAAAGCCTCGCTCTGCTTCTCGGGACATTCGCCTGTCATACAGAGACAAAGGACTAAGAGAAGCACTGAGACGCTCTCCCTCCACACTCTGTACCCTGTGCAATTATCTGCAGTGAAAGACAAACTCCTTCTCTCTCTCCATGGCACATTTTGTCCGTCAGTCATTCTCAATAAGCGAACAGCTCTCATCCCACTGTCTGGACTCACAGCTTAGCCATTTTTCCTGATGGGAAATTGGCAGGATTATGAGCGAAAAATGATGTAGTGGTAAATGACGACCATTTGTCTTGTTAGAGAAAGACAACGTGTTTAATCATAAAAGCCAAACATATCTGGGTGGATTTAATAAGATCTCTCTAAACTAAAATTACCCTTCATACTAGATACTAGATCCCAAATCCACAGAGATTTTCTAATAAATTACAAAATGTTGACTGAAGAACACCTTCTCATCTGCCATCAAAGCTTTTATTGTTTCAACACAGCTACGCTAATTAAACAGACATCCTTGAGCAAGCAGTGCAAATGAGACAGAGATGGATGTGTGTCGTCGCGCTAAACCGCTGTTGTTGAGTAGAAGTGAAGGATGATGAATCACAGACGTGCTCTCTGTGGATATTTGCTTTGTGATAGTTTCAAATGTGTGAAGCAGCATTTTTCAGCAAATTAGGGGCTTTGTGTGTGTGTTTGTGCCAAACCTGCAGATGTTTGGATGAGGCAGACTTCCTGCACCCGACTCATTTAATAAGGCGGGAGGTCGCCCTCTGAAACACAGACATGACCCGTGCTTCTTGACCTTTTGGGAAATAATTTGCTGTCTTACTTAAAGTCACACGAGAAGACTGCTAATATTCTCTTGTCTGTACGGCGAATACAAAGATTCATCTGTGTTCTGTGTAAAAATGTAACCACATCCACCTGCCTGCATTTCCAAAGCTTACTAATTACATCACGCCTGATTAGTCTGAGCAACAACAGAAGTTAATGTGAAGGAAATACCAGGAGAAAGTTAACTCGGCATAAAGACGGGAGCTCTTTCTCTATCCTGAGGTTAGTTGGGTCACTTTTTGTCCTCATTTAAAATTAAAACGCTTTTTGCAAGCTTTTCAGCTGCATGTAGGAAAACAATTGTAAAGCACGTCCACCTGTTATCACCTGTTTTCAAGTTAATGCTGAGTTAGATGTCACTGATTCATCCAGATCAGGAGGTTGGACCGACCTCATGTTGCCTTTGGAACTGCCTCAATTCTTCATGGCACAGATTCAAAAGGTGGGAAAAACGTTCCTCACAGACAGCCTCAAATACTTGTTGGAGATTTGCCCCCCCCCC